ACTAGATTATTTATGGAGAACACATTGGGTTATTGCTTCTCTCTCTTGCTAACTTTTTTAAACAATTCAACAGTCCCAATTGCTACATCCTTTGCATCACAAGGGCATAAAATAAGAATTTTGATCTTGTAGCATATTTTATATTATGAAATTCCTAATCTGCAAGGTTTTATAGTAAGTGTTACAAACCCCAATGAGTTTTCCATTTCTGCTCAAGGATAATTTGATAACAATAGAAGGATCTCCTATGGGAATAAAGAATTATCTATAAAATGGCTGGATAGTGCTTCTGAGTCAAAACTGATAATCAAAATTGTCAAAAGGGAAACTAAGATTTCACTCTATATATAACTTTGTGACAAAGTTGGACTTGGGATCTGTGTCTAAAGATAGTTATGTTCGCCTGAAATTATTTTTTTTAAATAGCTGTTATGCTTGTTAACGAAATGTCATTTTGGTAGATATTTAAACAACTGTTTGAAGAAGCTTTGGAAATTCAGAAACAAAGATTTCTTGAGTTGAGGTCATATGCCAAGGAAAAACGTGCTGAACAAAAGAAGCAGTATCAAGATGAACTGCAATCCATGGAAAACTATTACAAAGATCAGGTAGGTTTGCTCCTGATATCATAAAGATGGTGCTTAAAATCTCTCGCAGTCCATTATTAATTTTTCTTTTTCTTTCTTTTAGTTTGCAATGCTGGCCGAAGCTGTTTCAGAAGAACGTCGAGATATCCAAACCAGAGAGCGAGTACATACCCAGGTAAGTCTTCTCCCATAGAGAGGAAATGCACATTCTTTCCTCAGCGCTTTGAAGATGGCTCCCAAATGTTGTAGTTGAATTTGTACACAAGAGCCATGGTGGTGCAGTGGTTAGAATGCAGTATTACAAACTGATTCTGCCCACTGCCAGGAGTTCAGTCCTGACTGGCTCAAGGTTGACTCAGCCTTCCATCCTAAGATTGTTAGGGGCAATATGCTGCCTCTATAACCTGCTTAGAGAGGGCTGTAAAGCACGGTGAAGCGGTATATAAGTCTAAGTGCTATTGCTAAGTGCTATTAATCTGACAAACGGGGAAATTATTACATAGATTTAATTATGATTAAAACTATAATAAATAAATGGCCCAACTTCTTTTTGAAGTATTTTGCTCAGCCAGACAACTACGCACACTTTTCCTGCAAAGATTTAGAACTATAAATGAATTGACAGATGGCTCAACATAATCCTAATGCTTTCTTTTCAGACATTAAATAAAGTGAAACGTGAACTGAGATCCAAGCTGGAGAAAGAAATTAAAGAGCTGCAGGACATGATCACACATGATGATGATGATTTGTTTTTCCGAGAACTAGAAGCTGATCGGCTGAAATCCAGACTCTTGGTGGCTTCTTTTCAGTGCAGCAAGAACTATCTGTTTCTTTAAAGGCTTGTATCGTATCTATGTGGCTTTTTTCAAGGAGACCGGAATCAAAAATATAAAATTAGTGGTTTAGTTTCCTGGCCCAAGACCAAGATTATGTTGATGTTATGAAAACTGATATTTTCAAAACAAATGGTTTTAAAGACTTTGTCAATAAAGATTAGTTTCTTTATAATCAAAATTCAACTATCTCTGAGTGTAACTTCTGTGGCCAAATTTTATTTTGCTCCTGTAAATTGCTATCCCCAGATTGGGGTAATGTTAAAAAAAACCAAATTGTAGATTATGACACTTGAATCTTCCCAGGTATCGCTGTCAAACTGCCTGACTGATCATAGTTTGCTGTATTTTCCCCCTCCGTTTTGAAGATGGGTATTTGCTCTTCTCCTATCATCTGGCCCTTGTCTAATTTACCAAATGTTCTTAATTATATATATATAAAGTATTAGCTAGCCACCAATTCTGTAAGGTGCAATTAATTTTGAAGTCATTCAAGATATATTCCCTAACCATGTCTTAAATGCCAATCTTGTTGTTTCAGCCTGTCCTTTGGTTTTCTATTGAAACACATAGTTAGTTGCTTGCTTGAGAATTTTTCTACTATATAACGTTTTATGAGTATTGTATCTCATACACTTTATTAGAGGAAGTATCTCCAGGGACTCTTATATTTATTTCACGAGATACTAATGGATAATGGAGATCTGTTATAAATATTATTTACCTAATGTTGGGAAAAGTTCTTCTCTGCAGAGCTATGCTTTTATATGGCTGCATCTTCTTTCCTAGGCAAAAAATGTGAGAAAAACTTTTAATATAGTTTTTCCTATTCATTGGAGATAAATCTTTATATAGTGAAAGTAGAAGTAGGCCAGCTGTAAGAGCTGGGTTTAGGTACGTTCTACAGGAGAAACACTTTGCTTGCTCATCTATTGACTGAGATGTAGTCTCAGAGTGGGAAACGATGCTGCAGTGCTTCTTTCTCTGTGGCAAATCACAGTCAATGTTGACTGATGTGGAGAGGTCCAACTCAAATCCACCAGTTTGTGGAGTGCCTCAAAGCTTGACACTCACCTCTCCTGTAGGACAGCTACACAAAGCCCACTGGTTGAGGACATGCATTGATCTGTAGTCAAGTTGTAGCAGTATGCTGATAATACTCAACCAGATACCTTGTTCTTTGTGCCCAAAGGTTATTTGGATCTGGATGAAGAGGAACAGGCTTCAGTTTAATCCTGGCAAGACCAAGTTGCTATGGCTTCATGGTTATACTGGTACTGGAGGTTCTCCATCTAATTATGCATCAGGTTATACTTCCTTAAACAGCTGGTGCCCAATTGAGGATCATACTCAAGGCTGACTCAGCCTTCCATCCTTCCGAGGTGGATAAAATGAGGACCCAGATTGTTGGGGGCAAGAGGCTGACTCTGTTAACTGCTTAGAGAGGGCTGTAAAGAACATGAAGCGGTATATAAGTGTAAGTGTTATTGCTATTGCTATCTTAGGTGCATGACTCCTACTTGATATGAAGGCAGCAGCTGTGGTCAGGAAAGTACGGCTTATCTGATGCTCCAATTGCACCATTTCCTGGAGTGTTTTCTTCCCAGTTTTCCGTGAGTTCAATGTAAGGCTATATTTGAAGTCCACGTCGAAGCTACAGTTAATCCAGACTGCAGCAGCATGAGCAATTATAGTCTCGTCTTTGTATGGTTATTATTCCCACTTCTGCTAACCGTTGCCAGTGAGCTGGTTTCAATTCAAGATACCAGTTATCACCAGCAAAACTGCAGCATAGGGTGTGGCTGAGGGACCACTGCTCTCCCATCATGTGACAGAACTGGCATGCTTCAAGTGCTATCTATTTATTAACCAGTACCATCTGATGGGACCCCAAAAGTGTCCCATCTCTGTCACAGCAACTGTTCTCTTGAATAGCATCTCCCCAGAAGTTCAAACCACTCAATTCCACAAGCCTTTTCACAATCATTGAAGCCTTAGCTCTGGGATAGACTGGTGGTTTGCCCATTTAGTGTATATTGTATAGTTTGGCAAGTATGTTTTTCTTCCTCATAGTTAGGTGTATTATGGTTAGTTTTTATTTTAAGGTATTGCATTTAATTTAATATGTTATCCAGAATCAGTGCTAGGTTGGGTGATCTTATAAATCAAATAAATACATTTTGCTATATCAAGGCCAAATTAAATTTCTTGTATTTGCAAAATGGGCACCAGCAACTTTTGCTGCTGAAAATCTAAATCTCATTTTTTATTTTTTATTATAAAAAATATCTCAGGGTATATTTTACATATAAAGTATTGCTATTGTAACATCTCAACTACCATATTTGGAAAGAGCTGATCATGAACATTACAGCAAAGCGATAACTGTTCTTCCACACTTTTACTGTTGTGCTGGACACAACAATTTGAATAGTACAAATAACTAATATTTTGTGTAATAACTCTGAGTTATACAATGCCAAGACACGTAGAAAGAAAAATCTTGAAAGGAAAATATGAACACATATTATGTCTAGGAATATAGTGAAAAAAATCTCCCCTTTCTCCTTAGTTTCGGCAAACAGCAGAATTTGATTTCAACAGGGTATTTAAAAGTGACAGCTAAAACAGCAGCGTAGCGGAAAAGCTTGAAGACTGCATTCTCCTTAAAAGAATTACAAATGTAAATATTTGACATAAAAAATCAAAGTTGACATCAGCCAATGAACAGTGGAATGATGCCTCCAAGGTTAGCCTTGTTCCTATCCAGGATTTCTGATTTCTTAAAACTACTAAGAAAATCACTATTTTATTTAAAAAGAAAAACAATTTTCAATTTTATTGCTCAATTTCTGCAGGACTTCTGTGATTTTTTAAAACTACTAAGATCACTTATTTTATTTAAAAGTAAAAAAAACAAACAACTTTTAAAACCTTTGATGCTGTGACAGTGCAAACAGCATTCAATTTTATTGCTCAATTTCTGCATGGGTACATACTCAAAAAAATTTATACAGATGTATTGTTAAAGCTCATGTAACAGCTTGGTGAAAATACAATATCAATGCTAAACACATTCTGCAATAAATACAATAGAAATGGAACTGAAAAATGTGTCAGTTTGTGGCAGAAGGAAGTATACCAAATATAGGTTTGTTTTAGTAGGACAAAACTTTTAGGATTTGGCAGTCAGAAAACTTCTAAATAAACAGTGTGTCTTAAGTACAAATTGAACCTGTTAATTATATAATGCAGTTCAGAATTTGTAGCAATGATGTCATGTTACATTACAAATGTGATTTAAAAGCGCAAGTTCCTTCCATTAATGCAGCCAGTTTAACTGCACCACAGGTTTAACAGATATAGTGTTGCAGAATAAAAACAAAATTAAAAAAAATCTGTGTGCTCTGGACTCTAGTACAAACACAAATGTTTGGTAAAAATAAAAATCAGTTTGGAGAAACTGAACCTATGTGCAAAAAATAGAATATATACTGTACAAAGCACCATTGCAAAACTTTACACCTAGAAATTAAACTTGAAAATGCGTCTGAGTGCTTAATCACAGAATCCTGGCAAATTGTCACTATTCATATTAACACATTCATTCCTGAAAAGAAAGCATGGAAATGTGAGGTGGCATCTCTCTTAACTATTCAATCCACGTTCAGAATTGATGAAGAAATCCTATGGGAAAAGGGGTGCACTGGAAATAAATATTCACATTTAAACCTAGGGTAAAAATCCAAAGGTCCAGCATCATATTTAGCACTGGGAAAAGAAGCATGGCTATACATCTGCAACAGATGGGTTGAGAAGAGCTTCCGGTAAGTTGTGTGCTTTAAAGCTTTTAATGGTTTTTATGCAGATAAAAAGGCACTCAGGAGACCTGAGAATTCTATTTGCATTCGTCTGCTCAGTGTTGGTCAAAGCAAGATGCAGTTATAGTTTAATTTTGCCTAATACATAGAGAATTAGACTAGTGCTGTAATAAAAGGTTCTCTGAACACAATTTAAAGTAGAGCAACAATGCAGTCACTGTTCAAAAACATAAGCTTTGGAATGAGACCAGGTTGGATTTGCCTTTCCCAAACGTAACATCCCATTTTCTTCACTGTCAACAAATTCTTTCCGCTCTCAGTTTCCACTCTTAAGATTGCTAGGTTTCATCCTATTCAAAATGGAGGTATCTTAAACAAGACAAGACAAGACTATTACTGCTAAATAGATAAATCTATGGATTTATCTATTTATCCAAGAAGCTCCTAAGAAGCTTGTGTACATACAAAAGAAAAGACCTCAATGGTCAATTATAAAAGGCAGGAATCCACCTTCAGAGGTGCTCAGCACTCAGTGCTTAATAGTGTACAAAAACCAAGGCTCCATAAGTTCTTCATTCAACATCTAGCAAATAAATCAATGCTATTCCTGAAACCTGAAAGATCAGCTGAAGAAGAGAGAATATCCCAGAGATGATGTGAAGGGGGGGGGGGATTTCAGACAGGCATAAAAAGATATCCCAACTGGGAATACGGGCTTGCTCCTTATCAGCTTCAAATTTATTTTATTGGGAGCGGATAAACTGGTGCTCGACAGATATTTTGTAGCAAACCTTCACAACCAATCACTGATGGTGCTGACTGGACTCTAGGAGGTGAAATCCAAAACATCTGAAGGGCAACCAACTCCCTACTCTGGAACTAAGCTGCACACATTCCTCGGTAGCAGGCTTTGAATAACTAATGCTGTAGAGCCCATAAACAGTAATCTAATCTACCAGAAACTGTATTGGTTCTGTTCAACTAGGAATCATAAATAGACCATCTATCATCACCAACTCCTATACTACAATAGTCTAACTTGTGCAATTGCTTCTTATCCCAAAATTTCTGCCTTTTTGTATAAACAAAGGTACCATGAAATTCTTTCAAGAACAGTCAAATGAAAACTACATTTTTTCCTCAAAATGCAATATGCGCCTGATGGGAGTGGCAATTGCCATACAAGTCTGCTGGACTCCAGGATCAGCATTTGGACCAAGTCAGAAAAGAAACACTATACAATGAACATGCTTTGCCCTTGCCTTTTCTTTTAAAACATTTTCTTAAAAGATCGACCAGCAAAGCTATGCAGTTTCCAGAGTGTAATTGGCACTCTTATCAGTATAATAATAATAAACAAGTGGTGGCCTACAATTAGTTCTTAGAGCATGCATTGCATTGTTTACTGTCTCTTGATTGTGTTAAGGTAAGCAGCTGAACTGTTAAGTTCACAGCATTGCTGAATGAGGCCTAGTTCAACACATGCAAGCTCTACTTTAATCTGCCACATAGGTAAGTAGGACATATGGAAAATACTAGCATTAACCATTGCTGATACTGATTATGACATTCAGCAATTTTTATGCCATCTGTTGTTCTTGTCATAGCAGCCACACGGAATTACACGGAAAGCTTTTATATGTGAGCCATCTTCAACAAATGCACATCTTAACAATTAAGGACTGTGTTCAAATGTAAATAAGTCACCAGTATTAGAAGATGCCTTTTGTTTTTTAAGCATTCCACATATGCTTGCATTAAAACAAAGGCAAATAATTTCCTATGTATCTGAGCCAGCTGCTAAACAGAGCACATTACAGCACATCAGTATTTTATAGCTGAATCAACAATATTGTGGGTTTCCCCCCCCTTATTCGCCACTACCACAAACTCATTGACTACAAGCAGTTCAAAGTAAAGGCAATTTTATCTGGATCAGATTATTGAGCAACAACTAATATACAGTGCAGGTTGGTTGTATCTGAACGTAAAAGCTTTGGTTGATTTGACATCCACAGAGTGTTTTGAACAATCAACTGATGATCTATGAAGGCTAATGATATCATCCATATATATTTAGGAGTCTAAAAATGCAGCAGTTCCATTTAAAATGGAAAGCATTTTTTTTAAAAAAAACACCTCAAGTATTGACTTTTTACAAAAAATGCTCATTTAAAAAATGCTGAATGCCTACATTTTTAAAAAGGGCTTTCCACATTTACCACAAAGTACTGTACCAAATGCAGTGCAATTTAATTCAGATAAGATTCTGCTAGAGAAATCTGACTGAAGAAAAAGACCGAAACCTTATAATTCATGCTTGAGAAATATAAAAATCCTGACACAGGACCACTGAAATTGAGCTTATAACGCAGAATAAAATCATTGCACTGTATAAGAAAATACAGTTTATACTGTGAAGTAGCCTTACTTTAAAAGGTTTGTGATTCGTTTAGCCAATTTTATGCAAAAGTTAGAATAATCAAAATACTTTATTTAAAAAAATAGCAAGTACAGGTGCTATTCAGAATCACATTTATATAAGTCAGCTGGAATGTGGCTTGTATCAAGAGCTGTCCCTTGGACCTCTGATAGTAGAAATCAGGTAAGCAAACAGATCAGATCACCTTTTACAAAAATAGTAGTCGTCTTTCAAAGAGAATACTGCTTAACTGTTGAAATGAAGGAAAAGTCAGCATTCTGCATGTTCAAGATACTAGTTTTTAATAGCAGCTGAATTATTCCTTGGCAGGAGCCACAGAACATTTTCTTGAATGAAGAATTCCAAAAATGGTCCTTTCCCTCATATTGTCCTCTAGTAGAAAAAAAAAAGGTGTGTGTGGGGGGAAGTCTCCTATATTTCAAGCATTTATTGTATCATGGCTGAGGAAAGGATTTTCTGCTTGGAGTATTAATTCAGTTCCATGCAGATCTGCTAAAGATCATTCCACGGCAAACCCACATGTTTCTTCAATGGCGGTTAGCAGCTTTTCATAGAGCTTCTCATAGCTTTCGTAAGGAGGAATGTCTATCCGATTGAAGCTGCAAGCAAACAACAAAGAAGAAACATTTCAACTTATAACGTTGATGATTCAAATAAGCAATGCAACTAAATACTGATTAATGAAGGCGAGCTACATATTTTAATGGTGTGTTATTGTTATAAGAACACAGTTCCCCCAAGGACTGTTCTATGGGATAGGAACTAGACCTGCTAGGAACTAGCAGAAGATAGATATTTGAACAACGTAAATAAAACTGGTTATCTATCTAGGAATTTTTCAAAAATATTTTAAAAATAAGGTATTGCTTTACAAAGTTACAAACACGGCTGAAAAATTGCTTACCACAATGTGACACACAGATTGCATTAATACAGGCAGTCCTTAACTTATGACCACAATTAAGCCCAAAATTTATGTTAAGTGAGAAATGCGTTAAAGTTACTTTTCCCCACATTTTACAACTTTCCCCCCACATTTGTTAAGTGAATCATTGCAGTTGTTAAATTAGTAACATGGTTGTTAAGTGAATCTGGCTTCCCCATTGATTCTGCTTCTTAGAAAGTCACAAAAGAGGCTCGTATGACTCTTGGACAAAGCACTTTTTTTCAGTGCTATTGCAACTTTGAATAATCACTAAATGAACTGTTGTAAGTCAAGGACTGCCTGTAGTTGAGAAACTCTCGGCACAAAGAACAACTAGTAGTAACAGCAAAATATTAGCATGTTAAAGCTTTAATTTCAAGTGAAAACTCATTTTGATGGAATCAACAAAAACTCTGGGTCTTGTAGGGTTGCCCCTCCTGGCATTGCTGAATTACAATTCCACAAAATCCAAATGACCATGACCACTGGTGAGAGATTCTGGAATTGAAGTTTGACATCATTTGGAAAATTATTGTACCACCACAGAATTGACCTATCTCAATTGACTGTGGCGTCCATCTTTCTCTGATTTTTGAGATTTTTATCAGATTGTTAATTGAGTGATAGAACTGAAAAAGCACACGTGCAACTTATGAACATGGATACTCTTTCATTTTATATCACAATATTTCCAGGAAAAACCATATATATAAATGCATACATATTGAACTAGATTAATCGTGTTTTTGGAGCTGAAGCAGTAACAATCATATCTCTAATTAGTTGCATAACTTCAATAAAGAAAAAGGATAACAGAGAATAGCTCCTGACTTACCAAGTATGAGCTTTGGGCAGATTATTTGTGCTGGCATCAATCTGGTGAATGGTAAACAGTCTTGGGCCAGCAGCACCTGCAATTGCATCAAAGACAATACTGTTCAATATAGGCAGTCCTCAACTTACGACCACAATTGAGCCCAAAATTTCCATTGCTAAATAAGGCAGTCGTTAAGTGAGTTTTGCCCCAAATATCATGCTCATTATGTGAATCCAGCTTCCTCCATTGACTTTGCTTGTTGAAAGTTAGATGGGAAGGTTACAAATGGGGATCACATGACCCTGGGATAGTGGCAACTGTCATAAATACATGCCAGTTGCCAAGCATCCAAATTTTGATCACATGACCATGGGGATGCTGAAACGGTAGTGTGAAAAATGGTCCTAAGTCACTTTTTTCAGTACCTTTGTAACTCTGAATGGTCACTAAATGAATGATTATGATAATACCTGTATTACACGGCATTAATCAAAGAACATACTACAGGCCAATGAAGCAGACACTGTTATACTGTACAAGGAAAGCAAGCACATGCCAATATAAGATATACATGTGCACGGTATATCTTATTGAGGAAGTTCTTTCTTCCCCAGATCTACTCCATTAAGATTGATCTAAGACTTTACACTGTACACTTGGACTAGCACTAATTATGCAAATCAAAGTTATATTTCAAATAATGTGTAAAACAACTCGAGAAACATACACTGTGTCTAAAGGTATGTCCTTCATGAACTAGTAACTAGCACCCAAATGTTTATAAAATTCAAGTTATATGCTGTGTGCCACAGCATGCAGGATGTGGGTCCCACTCTGCCCATGGAAATAAAGAAAATCTGAGATGCGAGTTTGATACTCTGCAAAATAATGGGAATTATGACTGCGACAACTATGATTAAACTAGATGTACAGAATAATGCCAATGTTCGTTTGGATGAATGTATGAATGAAGCAAATTGATAAATTAAATTGAATCACACGCAGGTTTATGCACTGAAAAGAATAGGGCTTAAGTAGCCATGGCCCCTTCAAATATGATTAAACCTGTACCCAACTGCAACATATTTCAGTTCAGGTATTTAATCAAAAATCTGTTTTGCAAATTCTGTTATGAAACACTACTTTGGAAAGGATAATGTTTGTGGCAGTAAACTGGACTTGAGGGGATCATAGAAATTATTATTTTTACCTTGTAATGCTTTGAAACCCTGAAGAGGCACTCTGGATGATCCAGTCACAAACTGTAGTAATCGAGCCCTCCTCTCTTCATCAAAGAGCTCCACAGCTTTCCAGAACCACTTGACAATGTTGCTATCTGGGGTGCAATGTTTTAACCTTGTGTTGGCCTTCCAGTCATTAACATCTATTTTCCCAAGGCCACAAATGATGAGCTGTTGAGAATTGTAGATGCAAAGATCAATGGCATGAACTACGTGTAAAATCAGAAACTACCAGACCTCAGGGACAGGGAACGAAGATACTGTTTAACTTTTAATGATAAGTGCCTTATCCCATTATGAAATGGTAATCAGTTTCAGATTTGATGACTGAAGGCATTTTTTTGCCCCAATCCTGAAGGCAGGAATGCTGGCAGAACAGAACAGAACAGAACAAGAATGATGAAACTCATAAAGGGGACAATGTTACAGATGTTTCCATCTTTTCATACTCGGCAAATCTGGTTTTACAATGGGGAAGACAGGACTTCTACAAACATCTCACGTGACGATATGAGCTGGTCATCTTCAGCTCTGATTACTGGCCACATTTACAAAGCATAAGTTTGTGCCTCTCTTGTGTTTATCTGAGAGTCTACATATTCTATGTGTCTGCATGATTTTTGCTGCAAATGCATCGGAAAGGAGGGAAAGTTCCCAGACATCTCATATAGAAGAAAAACATTGATAATTAACATACTAACCTCTAGTTCCTTCTCATCAAATGTCTTCAGCAGATGCTGTGGAATTACTTCATTAAAACCCTTCTGCAGAGCCAGGAACTGAGCTTCAATTCCTCTTAAAAATCGCCAGTTTACATACAACCTGTAAAAAAAAAAATACAATTATCACTTTAAATTTTTTTCTGTCCACAAACTGCAGATTCTGTCACCCAAAATAACTGTTCTAAGATGTAGGGAGAAGGAAATAAAAATATCATTTTAAAAAAGGAATTCAAAACATTTAGATGCTAAATGCACCTTATTAATTTATATATATATAAAACAATTCTCTCTGGACATAACAGCACTAACAAGTAAACCTTTGAAATACCTGACATATTCTTTTTTACTCTCTTCTGTGACAGGAATGCTTTTGCCATTGGGCTTAAGTTCGTGCTGTATGATTTCGCCATATGCATTGTGCTCCACACAAAATGTATGGTCTAAAACTCCTGTAATATCATTCTCCCTGAAAAAAACATGGAAATGTTAATGTAAATGTAAAATGTAAATGTCTAGGCATACTATACATTTTTAGTCTCAAAATAATAACAAATATTTACTTCCATAGAGCTCTCTCTACAATATCAATCTAAATAGGTAGCGTATTTGCTTCTTCTTCTTCACTAAATTTTCCTCATAAAAGAATAAATTAAATTCTAAAACATTCTGAAATATGAAGAACCTTTTCACTCAAAGTTTAGACTTTTCAAAGGTATCAGTCTCCCCACTGGCTCTCAAACATTTACAGAACTAAAATGACATTATTTCTCCTATTTTTAGTTTAGTTTAGAGGCGAAAGGATGATGAATTTCTGGCATGTGGTAGATTCATTGCTAGGGTTGATACACATAATGTGTGGAAACTACTGAATTAATGGAGGGATACAGTGTGTAGTAAATTCAAGTATATGAGAGAAATTTTGGAACACTAATGAATATAAGAAAAGTAAAAAAAATGCTTCAAATGCATCCTTAAATGCATATTTTTCCCACAGAGCATCTCTAAAGAAATAATAAGCTGCAAGACACAATGAATGGATACTTTAAAGAATTTAAATAATCCTAATTTAAAATTGGTTTAACAAAACAGCCACTAAAAAAAAATGAGCAGTATATACCCCCATTCCAGAAATAGTATAATTTTAAAGGGATAAATACATACAGTATCCATACTAAGCTGTTGTGAAGATCTGGGTCAACTAATTCCATGTCATCCAATGTAATTGGCTTTCCTAGCAGCTGTTTATAAAAAGGCAATGTAAAGCCACCATCAATATAATGTCCGTGAAACACAGCCATCCCCATGATTCGACCAACAAAATGGAAGTAGGATAAATGTTCCTGGAAGTGAAAGAATGTATATAATCAGGATCAAATCAGATTCTTCTAGCACAATTTCTAAGCATACAGCAGGTTCTGTCAAATATCACAAGTAAGAGTAATAAAAGCATTTATTTTACTTCCACCAAGAAACACCCAAATGTATATAAATTATTTTCATTCAAAAACTCATTTTCTAGCTAATCTTACGATTAGATAATAGCAATAACACTTAAGACTTTACAGTCCTCTCTAAGCGGTCTACAGAACAAGCACATTGCCCCCAACAATCTGGGTCCTCATTTTACCAACCTCAGAAGGATGGAAGGCTGAGTCAACCTTGAGCCGGTCAGGATCGAACTGCCAAACTGCTGGCACTCAGCAGTCTGCAGAATTAGCCTGCAGTACTGCATTATAACCACTGCGCCACCACATAATATAATATCCTTATATTTAGCCTAATGATTTCTTACAACATAAACGTTTTAGAAGATTTGTGCCCATCCATTTTTTTAATCTAATGGCTCACATTTATTTAAACTTGCTGGACAAATACAGCATAAGCCTTAAAGTATTTTGTCATACCGGGTTAACAGCAGAATCTGGATTTATCTGTAAAGTATAGATGTCATCACGGGAATACTGGAAGAGGCCATAATATGGATTCAGCATTTCATGGGACAGCAAATACAGCCATTCTCTGAAGGAAACACAAGCATTGCACAAAAAAACAGCTTTCAATGAAGCCTTAGGCAAAAGGCGATAATATGACCCGAAGATGAAACAGCAATTATTTATTATTGTGCCTTAAGGCCAACACTTTATGATGTCTGAATTCAGCATCTTGCTGGCTTGCCTGAGCTTTCATCATTTCATACTCCATTTGTGTCAAGGAACAATTCAGTTACTATATACATGCTATGGGTATATTGCTTGCAAAATCCTGGGAAAATAGCTGCCAACAAGTGTTTAAATCTATACAAGATGTTTTGTCAAATTTTGGAAGAAGGTAGGGCAAAAAATGAAATTTTGGAAGAAAGAGATGGGACAAAGACTATGCAGCAGTGGCGGTATGCTACCGGTTCAGCCCGGTTCTAGTGTACCGGTAGCAACGAAGATCAGCTGGCAAAGAACAGTTTGCCCCGAGTCTCTCCGAAGCTCTGCAGTTGGGCCCACCTGCCCACCCGGCTCCCATACTGACCTTTATTTCCTGCTTTTGAAGTGCAGCTGCTTTGCACAGCACAGCAATTGTGCGTGTCAGCTGTTGAAGTTACAGGGAGAGTGCAGGATTGCAGGAGGTGAGTAGGAAAGCCTCTGCACATGCGCAAAGTGCGTGTTTGGCGTGTGTGCATGCAAAAAGTGTGTGTGCGCACGTGCAAAGCATGCCCACCAAGCCACACCCACCAAACCAGTGGTAAACCACTTTGAAACCCACCACTGCTATGCAGCATTATGGTGGCAAGAAAAGAGAGAAGCAGCTTTAGTTCTTTCCCTAGCATTTTATACATACAAGTAGTCCTTGAGTTATGACCAGAATTGAACTCAACATTTCTGTGGTTAAGCAAGACAGTTGCTAAATGAATTTTGCCTCATTTTACGACTTTTTTTTTGCCACACTTATTAAGTGAATCACTGCTGTTGTTATACCACGGTTGTTAAGCAAACGTGGCTTCCCCGTTAACTCTGGTTGTCAGAAGGGACACAAAAGCTGATCACATGACCCCGGGACACCTGCAACCATCATAAATACATGCCAGTTGCCAAGCGTCTGAAATTCAATCATGTGAATGGTCATGTAAAAAAATGATCATAATGGTCTGCAATGGTCATGTAAAAAATGTTCATAAATATTTTTTTTCAGTGCCTTTGTAACTTTGAATGATACTAAACGAACAGCTGTAAGTCAAGGACTAGCTGTATTTCCAGAGAAGTATTCTGTAAAGTAAGAAAGTACACAGGGAAGAAAACGTTGGTAGAAATTATATACCGTATATACTCGAGTATAAGCCGAGTTTTTCAGCCCATTTTTTGTGCTGAAAAAATCCCCCTCGGCTTATACTCGAGTCAGATTCCCCTCTGAAAAAAAAAATGGTGTGGAGTCGCTGCCGCCGGAGCGGCCCCAGTCCCGCCGCCTCGGGAAGGGAATGTCAGCGGAGCTTTGTCGCTGCTTCGTCCGGGGTCTCTGGGCAAACACGTCCACCCGAGCGGGGCTTATCGCCTCCGGCACGCAACGAGCGCTGCCCTCGGATTCCCTGTCCGGTTGCCCCCCTTTTGTGGGCGATGGCAGTAAACTGTAGACCTGTAGCAGCGGCTGCTCCGCTGACATCCGCGGGCAGACAGGCGAACGCGGGACCTTCTCCTCCAAGGGCGCCCAGCGCCTTTCTACCCACCCCCGGCCCGTCTCTTTCAAGCGGCGGCGACTGCGGGGCGGGGGTCGTCCTGCGGGGACACCGGTGGGCGCGGAAAGAGGGGCGGGCGGGAGAAGCTCCTCTCCCTGCCCCGCCCCGGGGGGGGTCTTCCCCTTCTCCCGGTACAGGGAGCTCCGCGGCGCTGGGCGGGCGCCAAAGACGATGCTCGGGGCTCGGTCGGAACCGTCCGGCGCGCCCGATCCGATGCTAGCACAGCGGCTGCGCGCAGCTTCGCTCCAGCGGCGGCCTTCCAAGCCGTGGCCTTTCCCTTCCCGAGGCGACGCGGGACTGGGGCCGCTCCGGCGGCAGCGACTCCCAACAGCCCCAGCCGGGAAGGGAAAGGCAGGCGGCAGCGACTCCCAACAGCCCCAGCCGGGAAGGGAAAGGCAAAAAGCGCTTTGCCTTTCCCTTCCCGAGGCGGCGGGACTGGGGCCGCTCCGTCGGCAGCGACTCCCAACAGCCCCAGCCGGGAAGGGAAAGGCAAAAAGCGCTTTGCCTTTCCCTTCCCGAGGCGACGTGAGATAGTGAGATCGTTTCCCAAAGTAATTATTTTTATTTTTGAAATTTACCAGTAGCTGCTGCATTTCCCACCCTCGGCTTATACTGAGTCAATAAGTTTTCCCAGTTTTTTTGTGTAAAATTAGGTGCCTCGGCTTATATTCAGGTCGACTTATACTCGAGTATATACGGTAGTTATATTCTAGGATCCAGGCTGTATTTTATTATTTTGCATTTCACAAAAAGAGACAAACACTTAAAGGGTTAACATTGTATTTATTCAGAGAAGAAAAAAGAAAAAACAGCTTTTTAGCTAAATTGAATGATTTTTTTTTCTATTTAAAATTGTATGTACAATTTTAAAGGAAGGTAAAAGAAAAAAAATCATTAATCCAATTAGAACTGTTGGTATTTCTTTTTTAGATTTAAAATACAGGATATTAATTTAAGGGCACAAAAGTATGTCTCAGGAATTTAAATTACCGTGAAACATTTTTCACTGCTTCTGCTCACTGGAAATGTAATTCTGATTATGACAGTCTCATGGCATATGGTTCAACTCAGCCTCAGCATGCTAAAATATGTTTAAATATGCTATCACTTGCTATTATGTTAAAAGTTTACATTTCGAAGTGCTAAATAAATGTGTTTCCCTTGGTAATTAATGGCTCTGATCTCATTGCCCATAGGTTCATGCCAAAATGAACTGAATTGGAAGGCAACTGCCAAACATTACTTAGAAGCACCCTATTCTACTTTTAAAATAGAGGTAACATGTTACTAAAGAAATATGTGGATTAAATTTGAATGGAAGGAAGAAGATATGCTCCTCCTGAGTACAAGGCTCATAAAGCACCAGTTGATATCTATGCACAGTGCAAATACAGAAGATTAAGAACCACCCCTGGGTAGCCATTCCTCACTTCTTTAGTTGTACGTGAGAGAATTGTTCAAGAAACTAGGAAAGGCTATAGCTGGAACTGTAGCTGTTGGTCTCCAAAATTATTAGTGACTGCATAAAATCTACTCCTACTTGCTGGCTCCCCATCTTGAGCCACACTGCACCACCAGCTCTATGAAGGCAGGAAGCCTTAGTGAAGGAGTACAACAAAACTATGAGAAACCCTCTTCTTCCTGTGCACGCTGATCTTCCTCATCTATTAATTGGCAGGCTTAAATCCAGGAAGCCCTCTCTGGCACTCACTCAACAGCTGTCTAACAACTTTGACATCCACACACAGTGGAAAGCCAACTGGGCTGCTAAACACCCAGATACAGGCAGTTACACAGATGATCTTACACAAAAGGTGCCAGGCTTTGAGCTTTCTCACCAGCACTGGTCAACTCTGAACAGGGTCCGTACCCAACATGGTGTCTGCCAGGACTCATTGTTTAAGTGGGGTCTTATCTCTACCCCTCAGTGTGACTGTGGTGCTCCTCGACAAAATATCCTTCACATTGTGTCTGAATGTCCATCAAGAGCTTACTTCGGCCCAATGTCTGATTTTTTTTCAACATAGACCACCATGTCCTTGAATGGCTAGGTGGGTTGGACATTAACATTTGAACCACTAAAAGTCCACGTATTTGCCATACGCTAAATAAATAAATCCAAAATTATTTTCCCTTTGAATCCATTTTCCTCAACTACCATTTACCTTCCTGTTGTTTCTTTTTTTTCATTTTCCCACTCCAGAATTTACCTATAATGGATTAGATCATATCTAGTATTTAAAACAATACAATTTCAAGGAAAACCAGGCAGTTAGGTAAAGCTTCTTTGCTTTATGAAACATGACCACAAGGTGGAGCCTTATTAGTGTAAATAATTTTACACTAAATATTTTATAAACTTAAATATTTCAGTGCAATAACTACTCTAAAATTGTTATAATTACTGTGGATACAAGCACATTCAAGAAACTTACCAACTCTTAAACAATCTTGGCCAAAATCAAAGTTGAAAGACAAAGTCAAGTTGAAAGTCAAAGTTACTTAATATTTGGGTGAGAGACTACCAAGAACTACTCAGGTTTGTAAAAATTTTGGCAGGTTGGACTAGGAAGTCAAAAACCTCTCCAGAAGAATACAATGGGAAACTTCTGTTGTACTGTGATTAATACGGACTCTTTTATTAAATGAGTAGGACTTGAGCTTGACTTTAAATTTTTATCTGTTCTTAGCCCTTGTCAGTTCTTTATTGGTCATACTTCCCAATTTGAGGTAGTAAAAAACAAGCTTTGAGCATATAAGTTTCCAAGATCAATGGCCTTTCAAAGGAGGTCAAAAGGCTATGAGCATAAAAGGCTTCATTCTAGAACACAGCTAAGAACTGATGAATACCTTGTTACGTTATATATATTGCACTCTAAAAAGATGTCAAATTAAAGGATAGGTTTGGCCCATGAAATGCTACCAGTATGCTAACTAACTTGAAGGGAGACCTCCTTTGCATTTAAATTTACCAAAAATTGCAGAACATTGCCTCCAATACTGCTCTCAAAGGTACTAGGATCTAAAGTTAGTTCAATTATCATCATATTTTTTTAAAAAAAACACAAGCTAAAGTATTATATATTTTAAGCTGGATTTATTATTTACCTGGCAACACCTCCATAATCAAGGCCTTCTTCCCCACGAAATTTTATCATTAATCTCTTCCATAAGTCTTTCGGTCTCATCTTCATGACTTGTCTATAAGATTCCTGCAATTACATTAGGTAGCTATTAGCCAAATACTATGTTTTCAACTTGAACTAGACTGTATAAAATTTACACTACTGCTTTAATTAGTAAAGTTATATTCTTAATTATCAGATCAATAAAAGAGCCATTAGTGTTCAGAGATGCTGCTTGCAAAGGTTTATACATTCAAGTACAAACAGTAAGTTCTGTTCAGTATCTCGTTTACTTAAGGAAAAAAATGTCTTTTATATTTTTATAGGAAACCTATACTCTTCTAATATAATTTCCACAATTCCTGAAAAATCCCCAGAAACCACCCTACAAAATTATGTTGTTTGGTCTTATCCATATTTATTCTAATGTACGTCCTATCAATTGAAGAAAAATCACTTAATTCTGAAAAAGTCTGTACAGAAAATAAACAAGTTAATTTCAGACTTTACCAGAAGGATGCTGTCTCCATAAGGCACTACTGAATCTCAAAATACAGGTAGTCCTTGACTCACAGACACAATTGAGCCCAAAATTTCTGTTGCTAGGTGAGTTTTACCCCATTTTATGATCTTTCTTAATATTATAATCTGAAAAACAGCTTCTATCCCAGGGCAGTAGCACTGTTGAATTCTACTGTATAGTGAAATATTATTGCAATATCAGGGGTTTTCAATTCAATATATAGAATGTGAAGGATGTGTGTTTGTGTTTATTTTCATAGTCATAATGTACACTGAAGGGTATTTAATTTTGTTGTATGAGGTGCAATGACAATAAAGTAAACTAAAAAAACTAAACTTTCTTGCCAGGGTTGTTAAGTGAAACACGGCAGTTGTTAAGTTAGTAACATAGCTATTAAGTGAATCTGGCTTCTTTAATGACGTTGCTTGTCAGAGGGTCGCAAAAGGTGATCACATGACTCCAGGACACTGCAACTGTCATAAATACATGCCAATTGCCAATCGTCTGAATTTTGATCACAGGGATACTGAAACGGTCATAAGTGTGACAATAGTCATATGTCACTTTTTTTCTGTGCCAATGGAACCTTGAATAGTCACTAAACAAATGGCTGCAAGCCAAGGACTACCTGTATGGATTGTAGCTCAATAATGCCTTAAGAATTTTCCTCCATTTGTAGTGCAAAATCCCAGATCACCATAATAAGCACTGGCTTTTATTTTAATTCAGCAGTAATTTATAGTTCTCACATTACCTCAAAAATTTCTTCCCTGGAGACCTCTATACGGCAGTGTCCAGCTTGGGGCTGCTGCTGGGAGAGCTCTTGTCTCAAAATCTTGAGTTTCTGTACTAAATCCCGTTTGTACCTTGGCACAGTAAGACATTCAGCCTCGTCTGAAAGTTGGCACAGGGAAACAACTTGTTGCTGCTGTTGTGGTTGATCTTTAAGTTGATTTTGACGGCTGAAAAGAAACAGAGCAACTTTTGACGTTCTAGATTCCAAGACTTCCAGTGATTCTCATTTCCACAGCCTCCATAAAATGCATGTGAGCTAACATGTTGTGGGAAAATATTCAGTGTGCTCTTTTATCAAAATTCTCTGAAGGAGCCTGGAAGAGTACATACTCCTGTTTCTTTTAATACTGAACATTTCAACTCCTTTATTTATAAAGAAAATAAATAGATCACAATATGGACACTGCTCAAAATGTCTCAAATTGACCTATTTTTTCAAGATTTTCAGGTGTGTCCAAACATAAATAATATAAAAGGAGAATACCATCATACATTTTAATTGCTTTTCTTGAAAAGTTAATTTACAAAAATGCTTGTAGAGAGTTTGGCTAAGATGATATCGACTGTACCTGAATTTGTCTTAACCACAGGAATGTAGGCAATTTTACAATTGGCACAGATAAATGAATATTTTCACTAGCTATTAAGGAAAATGTTTTAAAACTATGTTCAGACAGTAAGGGATGAAAACATGATATATTCAAGGTAGGACCTTCTGACATTTTTTATAGTTACAAACTCATGCCAAAATCTGCAGCATTTTAAGTAGAAAAAACATTATTTCAGAATAAAAGTTTTGCTAAGAAAAATGTCTAAATCTGATTGTTTAAAAGACTATATGAAATGTCAGATGAAACTGTGAAAGTAATATAGTTCTTAGTAGCCAAAATGTAGAGAAACATAATTCATTGCCTCTTCCAATTATTAGCAGAAGCCAATGATAAACAAAGCCAACCATGTCAATCAAATTCATTAACTTTATGAGAAATGAGAGGCAAATATAGATGGAACACAATAATTCCGATAGGTAATAGAACATAAACATGGATTTACTGTTTATCAAAATGTTGATAAAAAATTCAGTAAAGACTTAAACAAATATACATGTGGATAAGTTCATTCATAGATAAGATGACCCTCAATTTTTAAATATCAAGAAAAATATACCACTCCCAGATAAATCAACACTTGAAATTTAGTGTGTCATAATTTTCACCTGGCTTATTCATTTTTGTGGCATTTGGTTACAAATTCAAAGGTTGGCTCATCTGCGAATGATCTTATCCATTAATATATAATCTTAATTATTATCATATATATTCACAGATAAATCTATCAGTGGATAAACCAAAGCAAATTTTAGGGACGTGTTCAATTAACTGTTAGGTTGAACAAATAATAATAGTGGACATAAATTTTCAAATTTCCAACCTACTGTTTATTTGTAATTAGTTATATAATGTTGTAAGTGCTCCCATCTTTATTAGCATCTCAGGATACTTAATAAAATTTAAAGAATATCATGAAGTCAATCTATTGCTCAATAACTCATCTTCATAAAAGTTAATGCCAATTGGTCAAGACTGTGCAATCCTAATCAGGATTAGATTTCCTCAGACAGCACCATTTGACTAGTGATAGCTTGTGATAGGAATGCAAGTCATTTAGTTTTGTTTCTTCTTTTTAACCCTTATCTGGTTAATATAGTTGCAAGAATCATATTAGAGCTCTCTTTCTTTAATTCTCAGATTTTTCTGCGTTATGATATGAGAACCCTGCTATAAACTAAGTAATCACTGATTAATGGAATAAGAATGTTTAGATAGTATCATAAGGGATGAAAGCATCTTGTTCATTACAAAGAGATGGCTGTTGCTCTTATAATTGACATTTTCAGTACCAGGCATTGACCATGGCAGCCAAGATGTCTTGTTTACTGTGAACAGACGTTTGCCAACCATGCTTACTAATATCAAAAACCACTGTTGCCAACCTGGATACAAAGCAGCAGCCAACATAAACCAGAAGCAGCCAGGTCAAGACATCATCAACAAATGCTTTCTTCCCCTGTTTGTCGGTTTCTGCCAAGTAATAAAATTGTGGCTGCTGTTTTTAAACTTCATTCTGGCAGACAGAATTTTCTGTTCTTCCAGCCACAAGTTTTCTGCTGTCAGCAGTCATAATAAGCAATTCTATTTTACCTTCAGTTTAAGAATAAGATTATGTATAAACTTATCTGCTTTAATGGAATGGCAGAATAACAAAATGAAGCATTTCTCAGGAACTTTCAACTGGATTTTTAAAAAATGAGCTTTTTTATGTTCTCAGGAGTCAATATATTTAGGTTATTAAAGGTAGAAATTAAAGGAATAAATTAAAGGTAGCAAATGTGGTATGTCAAATGCTCCAGTCTTTTGGAAGAGTGTTCCCACTCCAGGAATCATTTAGTCTGCCTTTAAAAATCTGGATTTTTATTTATTTATCTTTATCCCACCTTTATAAGTAACTCACTGTGGCAAACATACCTAATAATACTATATTTTTAATTTAATTTAATTTTATTGTTTTATCTTATTTTATTATTTTATATTGATTTCGTTTCAAAACAACTATGGGTGGCTTACAGCATTAAAATCATAAAAGATAAATATGTTTAAAGCAATAAAAATAGAATTACAATCACAGGTAAAATGATACTTAAAAGATGGGGGCAGGAAGTAGGATGTGAGGGTGTAGGTGGGGTTGTCTCTTATTTCGCAACCACCTTCACTGTGATGTACCCCCCAAAGGGTTCCAAGCCATCTGGCAGTGCCAGGTCTTCAGGCTCTTGCAGAAGGTCAGAAGAATAAGAGCCAATATAACCTCAGGGAATAAGATGTTCCAAAGGGCAGGAGCCACAGCAGAGAAGGCCCTTCTCCTGTACCCTGTCTGCTGAAATTATTTGACTGACTTTCTCCACAACAACAACCTTGTGAAGTGAGTTGGGCTGAGAGAATGATTGGTCCAAAGTCATCCACATTGCTTTCATGCCTAAGGCAGGACTAGAACTCCCAGGCTCCTGGTTTCTAGCCAGATGCATTAAATGCCAAACCAAATAGGCTCTCCAGTTGAGTTTGGGAATGGGTTACCTATTGGGTGAGACACTCGTAACTGGTTTTCAATATACAGAAACAACCAACTTGTTTTCTTTAGTGCAAACACGAGAAGAAAATATCTTCATTTATCCTATGTGGTATATCATAAAGGAACAAATGCTGTATAAAATTAATCAGATACTATACTTTTGCTGATGACACTGCTAGCTGAATTTCTGAAATCCTTTCACAATGAAAGACAGATGCATAAAGGAAAAAATAAAGTATGTAGCTTGGGAAGTGCAAAAAAAAAACCACCTGTGATTTTAGAACCTGACAAATAGAATGTTTTTTCTGTTGCAAGAAGCCTATTTTGTTAAACCTTTTCGTTAGCCTACATGAAACACAAATTATATTCTATACTGATCGTTAGTCAAAAAATGCCTATTTTTAAGTCTTTGGAAAGTGCTTGGCGTTTGCTCCAGATAGCAGATAGAAGTCTGCTGTAATTCCACGTTGGTCAGTAAATAGATAAACCAGATTTGAACAGCTATGCAAAGCAAAAGATTTTCTAAAAAATTGTAATTACATTTTAAAACAGGTATATAAAAATCAAATGTTTTTAGATAATTTGTAACCTGCTTTGGGTTCATCAAACTAAGAAATTTATCTTCCAGAGTCCTATTCCCAAATATTGTTCTGTGAAAACAGTTTTAACACTTTTTTAAAAAGAGACTCAAGTGAACACGCAACTATTATCCACATCTGCAGAATGAAGCTGGCAAAACAGAAACCAGCAGTTCCCAGACCTCAGTATAGATCATACAGTATATTTTCCAAGGCCATCAAGAGAATGGATAGCTATCTATTGACTTGGAAAGGCAGGAGGAAAAAGCCTTGAATTTAAACCCTGAACTTATATAAGGACTTTAATTTCAATGTATTGAAGTGGATAAATCTTCCACCAGTATACTGTTTTATTCTTATCTGCAATAAACAGATTAATAAAGCTGAGTCATATCTGTGAGGCTTTTGTTAAGAAAAAAAGTAAAGAAAGATAGTTTCTGAATTGGGTGTTAAATACCTAATGAGTTAAAATTTACAGTTGGGATATAAAGGTATTAGAGTTCAGAAACTATATTCTAGGGAGATCTGAAATGATAAATAATTGTGTCTAGACAATAGCAAATTCTGCTCAAATTTTGCTCTTGGGAAGAATAGAAGTATTAAATGCAGGTGCAAAACTGAAAAATTTCTGGTGCAGAAAAAAAAACGATTTTTTGTATTAAAAATGCTTCCTTAGGTCCCCCTGTTTCAACTCCATCAACAGAAAAACACTCTTAGAGTTTAATTTAAAACTATGTAAGATGTTAATTTCCTTAGAAAGCATGTAATCAGATATTCCTGAAAAATCCCCATCTAGATTAGTTACCCATGAAAATATAAATCATACTTTATTACCAGAGAGCCAATTTCAATTAGCATAGAGAAATTTTCTCATCTTATATATAAATTAGTATTCTATACTTTAAGTCAAGTACCAATCTTCCAACATTGAGAATGACACTGAATCTAATTTTTTCCTTTTCTCCTTTCTTTCTATTCTTTCTATGCTTCGTATATCTTAGGTTTTTCTATTTTAATTTGGACAGATGCAAAAGAAATTAAGGAGATACCTGGTTGTCAGAAACAGAAGAAATACAGAACATGGTTTTTTTTTCATAACATTAAAAATAAAATATAACCAATGATTAACAAAAATGGTAACATTCCTAACACCCCTTTACAAATCAGTGACTTATCAAATAGAACACAATTTCAACGTGCTCTTTTCTAGAGCATTAGCCTCCATGACACAAGCTAATCCATGCCTACAGCAGATCAAACATTCTGCTATAGATTAAGTTAATCTAAAATGCACATGTAGACATTAAGAGGCATAAGAGATATTCCTGGAAAACTACCTTAAATGCTCTAAATGTTATTAGCCACATATTGGTGACATCAGTGACATTAACTCACTTTAGAACCAGGTGCAAGTTAGCTGATAGTCGTGGATCTGTAAACTGTGTGGTCCTGTTGTTATGATCAACAAAATAAACTCTGCCTGTGGCTGTGTTTCGGATTTCCCATCCAGGAGGCAAAGGCCCAAGTTCTTCACAATTGATGTTGCTAAGATCCCTGCAAAAAACAAATAGAAACGAGGAATATCTCAGCATAGGGCTTCTGAGCCAAACAGGCAGAAATGTAACATAACTATTCCATGAAGTCTGTGCATATGCATTGTTTCAGAAACATTATCTCTTCAGTTGAAATCTCTAGTCCCTGGGAGTAAGTCCACAAAAGTAAAAGAAAAAAACATACTCTTTAGAAAGACACTGCACTGCACGTGCCTTGGAAACGCTGTTATCACACGAAAGCTATACTGTTTTTTTTAAAAAATAAATTAATATTCCTTTAATCAGCATAATTCCTACTAGAAATATGTAAGTATTTAAAAGCCACCCTTACTATAGGGGTTTAACACTGATTTTATCTTTAGTCATGATTTTAACAAGTCTTTTTAATTTTTTAAGGATACTTGAAATGATTTTTCTAAAGTTGAAAACAGACCTTATTTTCTATAGAGTTTATATAAGCTTGCAGTACACCACGTGACTTTAACCCACCATGTAGACTAACCATGAGAAAGAATGACAAGCCCTAGATCAGAGGTGTCAAACTTGATTTCATTAAGGGCCACATCAGGTTGTGTTTGACCTCGGAGGGCTGAGTGGGCGTGGTCAGGGTAGGCATGGCCAACTCAACGTCCTGCAGTCCTCTGCCAGTGAAAACAGAGCTCCGTTTCACTGACAGAGGCACTGAGGGCCAGTCCTTTGCTGTTTCCAGGGCAGCCCTGCGGGTCAGATCTAAGCACCCTGTGGGCAGGATCCGGTCTGCGGGCCTTGAGTTTGACACTCCTGCCCTAAATGAATACAAGTTTTCTCAATACAGTATGATTAATACCTTTTAATGTTTGTAAAAGAAGCCTTACATTTACTTATTATTTCTATATCCTGCACTGTACATGTTTCACCTCCCACCCCCAGAACAATTATGTGAGGCAGGATAGATTAGACAACAGGAAGCAATCCAAGATTACACAGTACATTTCATAACTCCATAGGGACCTGAATATGGGTCTCCACAGACCCAGCACAGTGCTTTAACTATTACATCATTTACCAGATAAAAAACTAGGTAAGTTAGCTTTAGGTGTGTAAGCAGTTAACACTATTGAAATCATATCAGTATTCATTAATGTTAAAGAAAAAATAAACTATAAAATTTAGATTTCAGCTCACTTCCTACAAGTTTTATACTTTAAAAGTTAATAAGTGGAAGTCTGTTTTGAGTGATAAGACCATCTTCGGTTCCCAAGACCTCACAGGTCTCCATGTACCCCAAGAGCTGCTTCAGAGATTTCTCTGAATGTAAAGAGCAGGGTGCAGTGCCTCTCTCTTAAATCCACTAACAAAAGCCATTTACATTAGCAAAAAATCTTTACTGATTTGACTTTCTTTGGTAAGAAACTTGGAGGCAAGTAAGTAATAAATTTAGGTTTAATTAATTTCATTTCTGATCAAAGAAATATCTTATTCAAACCCCTTCAGATGTTTGTGAATGTATTAGACATGTAACACATTCTTTTTCAGACACAAGTGTTCAGCCCAAGCTACTCTTTTTAAATTGAGATTGAGATTTTTCGGAATGCATTGTTTTCTGAACCATGTTCTCAATTTGAGTGTCTACAGAATCACACAACAACGCACACCATTCTGTCACTGGGCAAGGGTGCAATTATTAGAAATGTGTGTGCTGTTTTGCATTTTATTTGTAAGGGGGCTTTACTTAATTTCCAGCACCAATGAAGATACATTATTTTCTTACCGAGGTACACGGGGATCGTGCCATGTGCTTACACCAGTTTGAGTATGTAGGAAATACACCTGCCCTTGCTGAGTTGTCCTTTGCTCTGTTTGGGAAATGATCAATGCAAAAATAAATCAGGAAGTTCAAATTATTGTTTCCTTTTCTAAAGAACATTCCCTGGATCTCCAATTATCATTGACATTATAGACGTACATATTATAATCTGTGTAACTTCCCCTCATAATCCTCCATTTTGGTCTTTTCTAGAACAGCTGTTAAGGGTGCCAGATTTGGACTACTTTGATCAGTTTGTCTAAGCAAGACTGGGGTAATTTTTTTATACAATACATTTGCCTAACCTTTATTCTGTTTCTATGTTATATTTTTAACTGCTGTTAACCTTCCCAGAGCCAGAACAGTCTCCCTTGAGACTTGCCTGTCTGTCACGGGATAAAGACATTTGCAAGGGTGGGGGAGAAGAAAAGAATAATATTTTGGGGGAAAGAGCCTTTTAAAGCTGTTCTCCCATGCAGCCACAGTGAATTTTATTCCACTGAAGTGACTGGAAAGATACTGAACAGTAAGCACACAAAACAAAATGGGGAAATAAAGAGTCTCCAATATCTGTAATAACTTAAGTATTTGAATGCAGAATACAAGGAGTCCTCGACTTACAACCATTTATTTAGTGACCGTTTAAAGTTACAATGCCAATGAAAAAAAGTGACTTGGAGGTATCCGGAGAAGGAATTTGTGAGATAGCATGAGGATTATAAATTATTGCAGAATTAAAATAAAAGACAGTGCCTATTATTATGGTGATTATAGTGATCTGAGATTTTGCACTACAAATGGAGGAAAATTCTCAGGCACTGCTGAGTTACAATGCATACAGGTAGTCCCTGACTTACAACCATTTGTTTAGTGTCCATTCAAAATTACAACAGCACTGAAAAAAGGGACGTATGACCCGTTTTCACACTTACGACCAATGCACATCTCCATGGTCACATGATCAAAATTTGAACATTTGGCAACTGGCTCATATTTATGACAGCTGCAGTATTGCAGGGTCATGTGATCATCTTTTGCAACCGTCTGATAAGCAAAGTCAATGGGGTAGCCAGAGTCACTTATTGACCGTGTTACTAACGATTGCAGTGATTAATTTAACATCTTAGAAAGGTCGCAAAATGGGGCAAAAATTGCTTAACAATTGTCTTGCTAACAATGGAAATTTTGGGCTCGATTGTGGTTGCAATTCAAGGACTACCTGTACTTTTCTATATTGAGATGTGAATCTGAGTTAACTTTAACAGGAATTTCTCATATGCAGGTTTCAGTAATACATTGTTCATCCTTGTTCAAAGCAACAATGTATTTCTGTACAAGATAAAAGAACAAATCCTGAAATTACAAATATTCCCAGCTCAGAACTGCTAGTGTGTTCTATATATGTTAACAGATTCTGCAGACGGAGCCACTGAATACAGAAATGGTACATATTGGGTGAGTCTGCATGCATATGGACAGCTCAATGCCAGCTAGATCAATACAAACTTCCAAGTAAATCGTAAGAATTTGGTGTGGGGGGAGAGACTTCGTTTCATTCTCTTCCCTTAAAAAGCATCATATATGGACAAATGCAAATACATGTCAATAAATGTTACAAACATTATTTAAATTTGATCGAAGAATCCCAATGGTCTTATGATCAATTAACAACTTTTTTTTTTTTTTGGAACAAATTTTATTGATTTTAAAGACAAACAAACCATCATTAACCATTGAATACATAAAACCTCTTTCCATTATTAATTTTACAAGTCAAGTAAAATATTATTTTATACAGCATAATTCTGTTTTACACCATTTCGATATGGACATATAAATATCTCTTAGCAAATTTCTCATTATTTCTCTTTTTGTATTCAATTTCATTATTATTATTATTATTATTTTCTACATTTATCCAGTTTATAATCATCATCTACATTTGTCTCTGACTTAATTACCATTATTCTCATCCAACATTCCTCTGAGGTTTTATTAATTCTCAAACAAACGTGAACACACAAAACACAAAAATATAAAACTTCTTTTAAGAAAGTAGTTTGGCCCCAGATTACCTCTCTTTATATGGACTTCAATTAAATTCGTGCTCATCTTATATACCATTACCTATCTTATTTACCATTCTATATCTTCTATATAACTTCTCACCGCTTTTCATTCTTCTTAATTCTATTTTATTTAATTCATTTTAATTTAAATCATTAATGATTTATAATGATCAATGATAATAATGATCAATTAACAACTTTCTGCTGTGTCAATGAAGACTCTCACTCATCCAGGCAAAAAAAAATCTCTCTCTCTCTCTCTCTCCCTCCCTCCCTCCCCCCTCCTCTCTCAGATTTCTAAATTTTTAAAAACAATTTATCTAATGTGTCCATATTCACAAAAGGCAAATATACCCTTATTGGTCTTTGCAATACCATATTAAAAAAAAACACCTAAAGTTCACTAAAAAAAACCTAAAGTTCACTTCACCTAATGGTACTGATTCAAAATTAGCCATTTTTATGACCACACTGGGTTGTAATGTAAGAGTTTTATGGAGATGAAAATGTCACTGATTAAAATATTTACTAACCACAAAGTCCCAGCATCTCCTTAGTGTTGCACAATTGCTAAATCATCATAGTTAGCACCAGCACCATACTTCAATTTAAAAAATAGATACTTTCTTATTTATAAAAGACAAGAAGATAGTTATACAATTTCAGGAACACATACCATATCCCTCAGGTAGATCTGGAGGAGTATGCAGGTGGGTCCTGCTCATGTAATTCCTATGCCTCTGAGATCTAACTCTCCTTTCCGCTAGCCTGGGGTCAAATGACTGTCCACATGTTGCACCATTTATTCCTGTAAGAGGTGTGTTCTCATCCACAAAGCAACTCAGAGGTCTACCAGGACTGGAATATTCCGATGCTGGCCTATTGAAAAACAACAATATTTCTTTCTTCTATTAAAAGGGAATTGCAGGCTAAAATTAGAGTTTTAAGTAATGTGTCAAGAAATACTAGTTTCAAAACACATTACTAGAAAACCACATTCTAATAAATAAATAAAATTTAATTGGATTAAAAGGTAAGCTGCACAAGATGGCTGGATGCTGGAGTGAAAAAGAGCACAAGTGTTGAGGACATTATCTTGGATTATGGCATAGCAAATTCTTGATAAATTCAGCACTGCCATCAAATGAATTATCATGTGACAAATAGATTTTTCTTTAAGCATCTACCACCAATATCCAAAGTTTTTTCACATGAATATGAACAGATTTATAGATGGATATAAAACATTCATATGTCCCTTCAATGATCTGGCTGCAACGTTTTACACCAGAAGCAGTTTCCAGTTCAGCTCCCAGGGTAATTCTGTGTAAAGCATATTTCCAGTAATCCAGCCCTAAAATTGTCACCACAAGGATTGCTGAGGCCAGATTAGCCCTGACAAGGAATGGTTACAGTTGGCAGTTAGAAAAAAGTTCTCCTTGCCACAGAGACCACTAATGCCTCCTTTGATAGTAAGAATTCTAAAACCATCCCCACACTGAGAAATGTTCACACTGTTTGCATTGTACTAAAGATGGAATGAAGGAGACTTGGGGGGAAGGGAGATGAGAAATCTGATTTCCTACCTATTCGCAATAACACATAAAGTTGCCAACTTTACAACCAATCATAGAAGAATCAGGAAAATCCTGGTGCATTTGTACTGGTGCACAAGTGTCACCATCTTCCACTCAACTGGAAGCGAAATAGGAATAATTTCTTTAATGCATTGTCCAAAACTGTTTCCCTTGTTTCTCCCTTTCCTAGAAAGGATATATAAACTAATAACAAACCTTGAATTAATTTAACAAAAACCAGAGTTCTGTTTAAAAAGGGTTTATCTGTATATATAAATATGACCCCTTTATTCCTGCTGATTTTATTACTTATTATTGAATATTAAATAAATAAATAATAAGGACTTAAGGAAAACTTAACAAAACGGGGATAAGCAACTCTTTTGAGGCATATGCAGAAGTTTGAGATGTTAAATATTCTAGCAAAATGTTTGTTGCAGAGGGGAATTCAAAAAAAAACAAAACCCTCTCGTTTAACTGAAAACTAATTTGGATGCTCTGCTCTCAAGATTCCATGAAAAGATTCTCATGAGCAAATATGTTCTATATTTTTGTACAGTAATGTAATGTATATTAAATATGTGAGAAAATGTTCTAATTTGGGAGGAAAGGACACAGTATGGCACATCAACTTAGAATTGGATAATCCCTAGCATTAACAACCACTAGAGTTGTAGGCACACCACACCTTTAGCTCTTTCAAAGAATGCTTACCGTGTTGGTCTCTCCCACTGTGTTGTTCGTGTGATGTGATTCAAATACTGAATTCTTCCAGAAGCTGTCCTCCTTTCTTCCCAGCTAAATATTTTTGTATTGAAAGAAAAGTGTACATTACAAGAAGTTTGATTTTAAAATGTTTGAGCTCATAAAGTTATTTATTAAATAGGTTTATGTGTAATACATTTTAAACTAGCATTCTTTCATTTTTGTTATCACTGCAAATATTAAGCACAAATGAAATCAATGTTTGGCACATGCAATATATTATTTTATTCCAACTGTCAAAAAAAAATAACTTACCCATCAGGTAAATCATTGTCAAATAATCTACTGCAATCAACAACTTGCCCTCCTGTACCTATCCGGTCTCTGGACTGAAGACTTACTATCAAAAAACAAAAATTAAAATTAGAACATTATTATGGAATATCTTGCACAAATCTTTTTGATTCAGTGATATATGCATTTGGAATTTTGAAAATATGTAGGATGCTCTTATCTTATCACTAAACTCCCTGAAGATTTCTCCAAGATAGTGCAAAGCAGTTTGATGAGATTCCAAAATGCAAGTAATCTGACCCTGGAAATTTTAGCTCAGTAAACAGGTATTCCTATAACCATGTCTCTATAACCTCAAGCTACAATCTTATACCTTCAATCTGTTCCTCATAGTTGCCTAGAAGAACACAAAACATACTTTTGTTAGAAAAGATTACTTAATACAAAGATTGCTAACAGTATATTAATGGATGATTTATTTGGAATGTGGATCTTGTTAATTCTGGAATATCTAGCAACTTCCAATATCAATATTACAATGTTACTATTCCATATTCTTTTGGGAGAAACAATGACATAGTAATTCCATTTCTACCTAAAAGAAGTAACTCCAAAATGTGATACTGAGGGAATATGTCAATGTTATATGATCCTCCAAGATTTTGGTTGTCTCCATGGTTCTGAAAGACCAAAATAAATTGGAAAAGGCAATAGGGAGGTGCAACGAAGCAACACCTTTTTGCTGATAACATCCCATTCTCTTCATCAAATTCATATGAAGGATAATGAAACTATATCAAGAATAATAATAAACTGAATAAGGGCCAATAAGCAGCAACTCAGTCCTGGCAAAACTGAGTGCCTGAGAACCAACAGATGCTTTGTTTCTTCACAGAATCTCCTTTAAGGACCATGTAAATGAGTGGTGACCAGAAAGAGAGAGAGCTTTCTCAATTAAGATGCCACTGTTGTAGAATTGCCTCCTCAAAGAAACTTGCCTAGTGACATTCTTATGGTTTGGCCTGGTCAGATATTTTGTTATCACATTATTTTTAACATGTCAGTCTTCTTCTTTATTTGCTGTTTTTTTCCCCTGTATGCTACACCTATTTTTTTGTTATTTCCTCCTATTTCCACCACTAAAAGCTTTGCTTAAAGCTGACATATAAATCTTGCTAGTAAAGATAAGTCTTTGGGAAATTTAATTCACTAAATGTGTGGAAAATATAGACCATAAATATAATTACCACTTGCCTTATCATTTAGCATAAGTCAATTGCTAAGAATTGGATACTTCTGTGTAAAAGGCATCTCCATATCAGGGATTTTATTTATCCTATAATATTAATTAATTAATTAATTAATTAATTAATTAATTAATTATTATTTATTTATTTATTTATTTATTTGATTTGCCAATTGTTTACAAGATAATAAGTATAAGTGTATACATAGTTGTGAATACATGAAATGGGTACATATAAGAAAAATAAAAGAATAAGAGAAACAATAGGACAGGGACGGTAGGCACGATGGTGCGCTTATGCACGCCCCCTACAGACCTCTTAGGAAAGGGGTGAGGTCAATAGTAGACAGTCTAAGGTTAAAGTTTTTGGGGTTTGGGGAAGAGACTATAGAGTCGGGTAGAGTATTCCAGACATTGACCACTCTATTGCTGAAGTCGTATTTCCTGCAATCAAGTTTGGTGCGGTTTACTTTGAGTTTGTATCTATTGTGTGCTCTTGTGTTGTTATGGTTGAAGCTGAAGTATTCATTGACAGGTAGGACATTGCAATGTATGATTTTATATACCATGCTTAGGTCAGACCGAAGACGGCGTAATTCAAGGTTTTCTAGTTTTAGAATTTCAAGTCTGGTGGCATAAGGTATTCTACAACGAGTAGAAGAGTGGAGAACTCTTCTTGTGAAATATTTCTGGACTTTCTCAATTGTGCTAATATCAGATACGTAATGAGGGTTCCAGACTGATGAACTGTATTCGAGTATTGGTCTAGCAAATGTTTTGTATGCTCTGGTTAGTAGTGTGATATTACCAGAGAAAAAACTACGTAGGATTAGGTTAACAACTCTTAATGCCTTTTTGGCTATGTAGTTGCAGTGGGCTCTAGCACTTAGATCATTAGAGGTGAGTATTCCAAGGTCCTTTACAGAGCTTGGGTCATCAACAAGTTCGTGACTATTCAGCTTGTATTTTATTTTCTGATTTTTTTTGCCAATATGTAAGACAGAGCATTTATTTGTTGAGATTTGGAGTTGCCATTTGTTTGACCATTCAGATACATAGTCAAGGTCTTTTTGTAAGGTAGCAGTATTGTCTGTGGTATTGAACAGCTTTACATCATCAGCGAAGAGAACGCAATTGCTCTTAATATGATCACAGAGGTCGTTTATGTAGAGTATGAAGAGAGTTGGTCCTAGAACACTGCCCTGGGGGACACCACTATTGACAGGTACTGGATTTGATAGAACGCTCCCGATTTTGACCATTTGTTGTCTGTTTGACAGGAATGCTTCTATCCAGTTATTCAGTTGTCCAGAGATACCATAGGATTTTATTTTTAGGAGTAGTTTGTCGTGTACCACTGAATCAAAGGCTTTACAGAAGTCTATGTAGATTGCGTCAATTGCTTTGCCCTGGTCGAGTTGTGTCGTCCATATGTTTTTGCAGTGTAAGAGTTGCAGATTACAGGATAGTTTTTTTCTGAAACCAAATTGTTTATTGGAGAGTAGGTTGTTTGACTCTAAGTGGAGGATGATGGATTGGTTAATAATTGATTCCATGACTTTACAGGTGACGCAGCATAAGGAGATTGGCCTGTAATTTTCAACTAGGCTTGGGTCTCCCTTTTTGAAGATGGGGATGACTGTGGCTTGTGACCATAGGTTAGGCAAGGAGCTGGTCCTGAAAGATTTTTCAAAGATTATGCTTAGAGGTTTGGCTATGGCAGTGGATAGCTTTCTTAAGAAGTAGGCACATATTCCATCCGGTCCAATAGATAGAGATGGTTTTAGATTGCGTAGTGATTTTTCGACATTGTCTTCTGTGAAATCGATATGTATTAGATCATTGTTGTTATCTGTGGTACGGCTAGGAAATACTGGGCATGATCCATTGCTGTTTACAAATACTGAGCCGAAGAATGTGTTAAAGATGTTGGCTTTAATGGTGTCGTCGTTGCAGTCTTTACCATCAGGTCCTATCAAGGGAGGGATGGACCTTGAGTCTTTTAGTTTGTTGTTTACAAAATTGTAAAAAGCTCGGGTGGAATTGGTGCTTAGAAGGTTTTCCTCTTGTTTAATGTGATAATTGGTGCATTCAGTCTTTATCTGGTGGCATAAATTTTTGTATCGGTTTTTGAAATTGGCAACGTGACCAGATTTGTTTTTCCGCCAGAGTGATCTCTTTTTGGATTGAAGTTTCCTTATTGATATGGGTAATCTGCTTTTTTGTTTTGTTTTGGGAGTTGTTGTTGGAACATATAGTTTGATGACTCTTTTGACTTCAAGTAAAAATATGTTATAATGGTCTTCAACGGTATTGCATCCAGTGAATAGAGATTGCCAATCAAGGGATGAGAGATCGTTGTCTATAAGATCATAGTTGCCTTTTTTGAAGTTACAATAGGGGATTACATCATTGTGGTGATTTTTGTGTGGATGTATGTTGAGACAAAAGTCGATCATATTGTGGTCACTACTGGAAAAGGGTTCTTTAGTTTGTATTCCGTAAATTAGGTTCAAACTGTTGCAGAAGATGAGATCGAGGCAGTTGTTTAGTCTAGTGTTGTTGATTACTAGTTGTTCCAGTCCCAGATTTGTAATAGCATTGTAGAAGGTTGTGTGTATGATTTCAGTTGTACAATCATTTAGGGTCCAGTTAATATGAGGTAGATTGAAATCACCAAGAAGGATAAAAGGGTATGGGCAGGATGCAGCCCATGTTAGTAATGTATTTAGCTTGTTTACATGTTCGATGTCATAATCAGGTGCTCTGTAACATAGTAAGAATCGAATTGTGATATTTGAGGATAGTTCACAGATGATGGTTTCAGGAAGGGCAAGCTCCTGGGTAACTTGGATATTTTTTAGATGTAAGGATTTTTTATAGAATATAGCAACACCACCTCCTCGACGATTTTCACGATCTGATCTGTAAACATGATAGTCTCTTACTGTGGTAATGGAGTCGGGGAGAGATGCATTGAGCCATGTTTCACAGACAAATATAATGTCGAAGTTAGCCATATTTAGGAGGAAGAGAAATTCAGGTATTTTATTCACGAGGCTTCTTGCATTGAGTAGTTTGCATTTAAGGCCGGCAGTAGTTGGAATTGAGGTAGTTGGGGGCGTGCGTGCCTAGTCTTGGGTGATGGTGGATGGGTTGAGGTAGGGTTGTGGTTGAGGGTAAAAGTTGAGTATTGGGTTGCGTGGCTTACTTTTGATACAGTCAGCATGGTAGTCAATGTACAGGTCCTTCTCTCCATTGTCTGATCTGGTTTTTCACTCATTTTTAAAAAATGTTGATTTACAATTTTTATTTGCTTGCATTTTGAAAGATGTAACAAGTCTTAACAGTGGCATATATGACACAGTGCTATTGCAAAAATAGTTTAAATCTATATGAACAATTCCCATTTCATACCTGCATTAAAAAGCCAATCTTTAGTGCTAACATTTCTTACATACAAAGATTTTTCACAAATAAAATAAAATGATAATTCTGTGCCTAAAGTGTTGCAAATAATACAACAAAGGCTGTCTGTGTAAACCTAAGTAGTTCTGTTTACTTTATAAAGAGGCCAGTCAAGAATGAAACTGAACACATGACTTATTTGTGGTTTCTGTGGCATTAAGATTAATGGGCTTTTCCTAATCCTGTTTAGATTGGAACTGAAAGCTCAAGTCTAGACCAAAACGAGCATCAACCAGGCGAAAGATAACAGAGAGGCTGGGCCCCATTGATCCCAAAGGAATGCTGGCATTCTGAAGGTAGGGCACCATCTGTAAACAGATCCTTATAATTCCACCTGCTGGGATCAGCATTTTCCAAAAAAAAAAAAAAAAAATCCAACAACAACAACAACTTGGAAGCAAGAATAGAATCTATAAATCAAATGTCTGGAAATTCTCAGTAGAGGCAATCTACTCTTCCTCCAACTTTTTAAATTTGTTAAATCATAGACAACCATTCAGCGGAATGGATTCTTACATGTTAGTACTGTAAGCAATGTTACTCTGAATGATAAGGTTCAATTTCATCTACAGAGCCTACTACCATTTACATAATAAGATGTTTGGAATGGATATAATATTGAAGCACATAACTTGCAGCACAGGTGTGAGATCAATCAAATTATATTTCAAAAGACCATCACAACACGAAGTTGCTTGTCAATTTCCCTTCTCACACTCCCTACTCTTGAAAAACAAATTCATAGGGTTAAAAACATATTAACAGGATTGATCGAAGCATAGCTAAAGCAATATATTAAACATTAACTTCAATAAGAAGAGAAAATAAAGCAGTACATAACACGTAAACTTAGTTGGCTTTAAGCATGTCAGTTAAACAGTATCTGACTGTCACTGTTAAAAATCTATATAAATTATATATATTTGCCAAAGCTTAAACAGAAATGGTAAGCGGTGTGCAATTATTAACAAGGAAGAAAAAAATGAATTCCAAGTAATGTTGATAAGCAGAAATAAAAATGTTTCATGCAATGGTTTCTCTTTACAATCAAAATTGAAATCCAATCACCCAGCAAAGCTCCAGAGGGGAGAACGCTTTCATTCTGCCTATGCTTTAATCTCCCCAAATCTTCTTCAGACAATAGGGAATCCTCATGAGCCACATGGGAGGAAAGGGGGAGGGGAGGTGCATACAAAAGAGGAAATGGAAATAAAATGCCATTCATTTTTATTCATAAAAAACATTTGCTGGATCAAAGGGGCTTTTATGGACAATCTGTTTCACCTAATGTACTCTGTACCATTCCTCTTCCACGTTTTTACAGGGACCTCTTCCAAAAGACTATACTGCATTACCTGTTATGTGTTATTCTTAGGAAGGAATCTGTACCACAGAAGCCTCCCAAAACTTCTTTGCCAATAGAATGAAGAATTATTGTAGCTTTAGGTGGCGTTTTCTGTCAAACCTACATAGAGCTATAGCGAAATAATGCCGTTCTGACTCAAAAGAAGACTTACATAACAGAAGATCATACTTGCATTCCTTTTTTTTTCCTTTCCACCCTGGTGTTTGAAATACATATTTAAATTTGGTCTAGTGTGTTCTAGTGGTTAAGGTCCTGGCTTGGAAACCAAAAGACTGTGACCCAAAGAAAGTTTTCGGAAGTTTAGTTGCCTTTTGAAAAAAACCCTTTGGGACAATCATGACCTGGATAGCTAAGAATCTCCATAGACAAGAAACTGTGAGTTCTAATCCTGCCTTCCCATGAAAGCCAGCTGGGTGACCTTGAGCCATCTCTCTCTCTCTCTCAACCCAACTCACTTCACAGCATTGTCGTTATGTGGAAAACAGGAGAAGAAACAAGCATTTTCACCACCTTGTGTTATTTATAAAAAAAATCAAGGCAGGTTAAAAATTAAGCAAACAAACAAATTAAAATCATTACTTACCTACTATCTGTCCTCTAACTGTATCATTGTCATTTGGCCCAAGTTTGCATAGATCTAATCTCTGATCTATAAAAAAAAACCCAAGGAGATATGCCTTATTTCTATGTAATGATTATGTAAGGTATAATTTCTATGAAAAAATATATATTGCTGAATTAAACATTTCTAATTTCAAAAGAAGACGAAAAGCATACTGGTCTTCACCATCCCCAAAGCCACTTTGGTCTAGTAGTTAAAGTACCAGGCTAAAACGTCAAAGGCTGTGAGTTCAAATCCTGCCTTAGACATGAAAGCCAGCTGGGCCAGTCACTCTCTCTCAGCTCAACCCACCTCACAAGGTTTGTTGTTGTGGTGAAAAATATAGGACGACAAAGTTGTGGTGGATATGTTCACCTCCTTATTTGTAAAAATAATAAAGGCAGGATACAAATAAATAAATTATAATTTCCATAGAATTAACTTTAAAGTCACTCTAAAAAGCTTACTCCAAAATACCAAAGTACTTTTGTTCTGCCTACTTACAACCAGTGTCTTTGAGGCGGTTGATAGCATTAGAAAGAAGTCTCACACAACCGAGAAAACCAGCTCCCTGTTTTTTATGGATTTTCTTGTGGTTCCATACACTGATTGTTATAGAGTCAGACTTTCCAATGTATCTAAGGGGGGGAAAAAAGGAATCAGCAATAAAACATATGTTGACTGCATACCACTAATAAGTCTATGACGCACAATTTTTGACTGCAAAATATTTTTAAAACTTCATAATATAAAAATGGTTATTTTTATTTTATGCTGAAGAAGTCAAATGCATTATACACAGATGTGTCTCCATCATAATTTACTCATTAAAAGATTCTACTTGAACAAATGTCAAAGGAGCTTTTTAAAAATATCTTATGTAAATCATATATTGCTCACTTCCTTTGGCCAGACAGTCACAGTATGTCAAACAGAAAAAATGGTATGTTGTTGAGTGTTTAATTTGGAGGACGAGTTGTAACAGTTAAGAATTATGTTTCTCTCTGGGAGATGTTTTTAGTAAGCCTCTTCCATTACATGCATTCTGTCATGGTACAAACAACTAAGTGTTCAATTTACTAAAACATCCTTCTGCACTCACTCGTTTAAATTGGTTATTCACTCACAACACACATACCGTAGAATTGCAATGCATCATAACACATGTGGTCCTTGACTTACAAAAGTTCATTTAGTGGCTGTTTAAAGTTACAACAGCACTGAAAAATGTGACTTATGACCGTTTTCATAGTTACAACCTTTGCAGCATCCCCATGGTCATGTGGTCAAAATTCAGATGGTTTTGACAACTGGTTCATATTTATCCCAAGGTCATGTGATCATCTTTTGATACCTTCTCACAAGCAAAATCAATGGGGAAACCAGATTCACTTAACAATCAGGTTACCAACATACCAACTGCAGTGATTTACTTAACAACTGAGGTAAGAATAGTTGTAAAATAGGAAAAACTCACTTAACAAATGTCTCACTTAACAACAAAAGTTTGGGGCTCAATTGTGGTTGTAAGTTGAGGACGACTTGTATAAATGCTCTCATAATTTACAAATCAATCACCAATTATTTTGTGGTGTCAGCAACTAGAGAGGAACTATTTATTAATGTCACATGTAGTGTGCATTTTTGCCCATGTTCCAAGAAAATCACTCTACATTTTTATACAGATAGTCCACTCAAAATTATGACAGCTTAGAAAGTGTGCTTTATATTCCATAAAGCACCTCCGGCCATTGTAAAATGTCATAGTACACCTCCTCACAGCCACGTAATTCACACTCATGACTAGTTGTCAAGTGCCCTGTGATCACATGATTGCCATTTGGGATCTTTTTCGCCAGTTTCCCCAGAAATTCACTGGGGTAGCTGGTAGGGAAGATTATAAACTGCCATCACTTACCAAAGGATTCCCCCTTCTCTCCATGCACCGGGAAGAGGAGGGATGGAAATCCTTTTATCAGGTTATAGAAACGAATCTCACATCTTTAGGATCTCTATGGGTTTCTCCAACCCAGTGCAGGAGTTCCCTTCTACACATGGAGAAGAGAAGAACTTCTGAGATGGGGTGAAGAAAGCATGAAGATTTTTAATACTTTTAAATTCCCCCCCCCCAACCTAATAGGACAGTGGTCCCCAACCTTTCCAGTTTGGTGGATCAGTGGGGGGCGGGAAGAGGGGATGTTTCTGTGCGAGTGGTGGGCACACACATGAGCATGCGCAGCTCCATTTGGGCACGTCACTCACACAAATAAAGCAGAAGCGCGGCCATCCTCCACTCACACAAGATGGAAGCTGTGTGTGTGCTCTTGCCTGCTGCTTCCAAAGCCCGGTTCTGAACGGGCTGCAGCTTGGGGGTTGGGGACCCCTATAATAGGATGCCAGGGTAGAAATATATTAATTTATTTAGGAAAACTTATTTTTTTTAATATTGCTGTTGAAAGTTGCTGATATGATTATTTTAGTCTTTTAAGTTGGAGCTTTCAGAATTATTTCAAGAGCTACTGGTGCCCAACTTCATTTTCTTAGGTGCTATGTATAAACTTACGATATATCAATTAATATAGGCAATGATATACTGATATCATTAAAAGTAAACATACTGGGATAATAACTGGCTTCTGAAACAACCAACCTTAGTTAAAGGAAGAATGCTATATCTATGGCACTAAAATTGTACTACAAGTCCCATCATCACTTGAGGAGTCGGTGTGAATTTGGAATCCAATCTATCTGATAATCCAGGTATCTCCACTCCTCATCCAGAATCTGTATTTTGTCTCTATTTCTCAGCTGTCACAAAAAATAGACATACTTGTTTTCTCAGTTAAACACTTTGATTTTATACAGAAAAGCAGTATTTAAGAATTAGTATCTATGTGGTTGTTAAGAGTTGACACAAGTGTAATGACACATAACGAATCAATCAACCAACCCTATGCTTTAGCAATGAAAGACCAGCTACTTTATATGAACAAACCAGACAGCTAACATAGGCCTGCCTTACTTTTCAGAGTAATTCTTTTCAGAGTACCGTATATACTCGAGTATAAGTCGACCCGAATATAAGCCGAGGCTTATTTTACACAAATAAATTTTACACAAAAAAACTGGGAAAACTTATTGACTCGAGTATAAGCCGAGGGTGGGAAATGCAGCAGCTACTGGTAAATTTCAAAAATAAAAATAATTAATTTGGGAAACGATCTCACTATCATGAAAGGTTTAATTGATTCACTAACCCAAAAGAAGAAGATGATGATGACAGCGGGAGGCAGGAGTCACTCTCTTCCCCTCCCTCGGAGGCCCCCTGAGTCAGGAGTCGCTACCGCCGGCGCGGCCCCAGTCCCACCGCCTCGGGAAGGGAAAGGCAAAGCGCTTTTTGCCTTTCCCTTCCCGGCTGGGGCTGTTGGGAGTCGCTGCCGCCGGAGGCCGCGACTCCACACCATTTTTTTTCCAGAGGGGAATCTGACTCAAGTATAAGCCGAGGGGGATTTTTTCAGCACAAAAAATGGGCTGAAAAACTAGGCTTATACTCGAGTATATACAGTAATTCTTAGCAAAGACTCCCTGGTTTAATATATTTCAATTTTTTAGCAATTACCCAGCTTAAAGTTTGATCATATTAGATAATCTGTATTGACACGTACAAGTCATAATGCTGATTCCACTTTGGGTCAAGGGTATTCTTCACAGTATCAGTAGAATGGCACTGGCCAGATCCGTCCACCACCACTTTAGCAAATGGATCAGGAAGCCCTGTCAGAAAATACATAATACAATGAGGATGCTGCTAATTGATATTATTTTATTTGTGATGGTCCATTAGAAAGCATCTACATTTTGTAATCCAAATGAACAAAGGAATCTCATTATGCTATCAATCTGGTTTTGAGAAAATGTTGTACTCAACTAGATTAATAGTACCAATCCTTTGTGTAAAAGTAGAATTTTATATAAAGAACACATTCTACTAGGAATTCCATAATTTATTTATTTGTTTGTTCATTGCAAGATACAATCTATACTGAATTTATGTGGACATATAACATTGTTTCAAGACACTTCAGGCTATCATTGTAAATGATAATGTTCTAATGTTTTCAAGAATAGAAAGATTCAAAGTCAAGATATAGCACTGAAGCCAGGTGTTTTAATACACAGCCAACATGTTTTCAACAGTTCCTGAAAGCACTGCCTGGTTTCAGCACTTCATTGGATTGAGGAAAACCAGTGCCACCCATTTTTAGTAATGAATGCCACCCGTCATTTGTAAGTATGAGTTCTGACTTAAATACAAATTTGGGTTAAAGACAGATTTAGGGAACATAACTCATTTTTAATCCAGGGACTGCCTGTACTTCTGAAGCATTTCATTGTAAAGGTAGAGATGAAAAGATAATCATTATGAAACTCACACAGCTATTTATAAATATTCTGTAACACAAATGAAACATCAGCAGGTAGTAGCATCTGGTTGACCTTGACTGGGCTTAGAAAATTAACTAGGTCATGCTGATTATAGCAGAAGTTGGATGGGAGACCAACAGGTAATTCCAATAGATAAGCTGAGTTCCAAAGTTAAAAAACATTCCATAAGACTATCATGGCAAACCACATCCACACTAATGCCAAGAAAATTGCATGGATGTGTTCATGAAGTCACCAGTAGTGGTACTTGACTGAAATGAGCTTGACTTTAGCAGCACTCATAGTCAAAGCAATTCTTTAATAAACAACAAATTTAGCCAAAAGAAACCAGTGTAAAGTATTTAGTGGCAGCAACTCTTTCTAACTGCTCTTATGCTAAATTTCCATGCTATTTTTAAAACTCAAGGGACTTTTGGGATGCCCTAAAAAGTTAATGCTATGAAATGGATTTTGATCTTGAATTTTAGTTCTTATTAAAGCATATTATAATACCAATCCATTTTTAGATTTTAACGTCACAATAAATTGGCATTAATGACATTACAGAATTACAATTCTTAGCATCTCTCGCAAACGAGACGGCGAGAGATGATGGTATCATGACTGCTACTCTTATTGAGAAATGTACACAAATTAAAACATTACAATGTGCCTCTTTTATTCAATTTTTAAATTTAGATACCACTTATCTCACTCTTAAAGAGTTACTCTTGGTGGTTTACAAATAAACTATAATTTATAAATATTTAATAAATATAAATATATTTTAAAATTAGAATATATTCATAAGGGAAAAAGAATAATATTTTTCTTATTCCCACCTTTCCTTTAGGGGTTCAAGACAGCATACACAACACTTCTTTTTCCAGGGATAATAACTGATTCAAAGCCACCCAATAAGCTTCTATGGTTGAGATTGGAATCTCAGTCTCTCTGCTCTTAGTACAGGGTCTTAACGATTATACAACACTGGCCTATATTCAAAATGCAAGTATATCAATATACTCTGTTAGCACAGACCATAAACAATACTTGAAGGCGAGTAGATAATCTGACTATATCAGAGCATTCTGTTTAATGGTTTATGAAATGCTACCATACCTAATATAAGACAGTATCTTTGAACTTGAATCCTCTGTAATACAGAATAAAAGGTATAAAAACAGAAAGGTGTACTTACGGAAAAAGTCCTTTTTCACCAAATTTTTTGCACAGAGAACTGAAACCAAAACAAACAAACAAAAATAATTATAGAATAACGTTTTGAGTTTTAATGTATTTATTAAGTATTTCCAAATGTTCAACAACACAATCTCAGGCATATGTACCCATACAGAAGTACATTATAAATGTACTTGGAAATGCAGGCACATCGTGCAGTTTACAGATCAAGGATCGCAGCCATATTGTAGAGTTGGCATTCTGTTATTCAGTATCTTCATCCACTGGAATCGGCAGTGGAGAAACTGAGCTTGGCGCAGCCCACCTAAAAGCACCATCACTAAAATTATATCTGTACCTCTAAACAAATATCACTGGCTAAAATATATGGAGTATACTTTTTGATTTATAAATTAAAAGCCAATATAATTTAAATGTTGGTCATTTCTATGCATGCTTATTCAACATATTATAGTGAGAAAAACAAAACTAATATGCTATATCAGCTCTAGAAATGCTGTCATAACAATTGCTTTGTACCAATTAGAAAAAAGAAGTTATACAGGATATGGTATAAATAATGAGAAAAAAAAATCTGGCTCAAACCCTCAACTTATTCAATATTTTGGGACCTTGAACAATACAGGATTTTAAAGCTTAAGTGGTAATACCAAGGAGGGAATCAAATTGGATTAAAGTAAAAATCAGAAAACCCTAGTAAAAGTACATATATATTTAAAAGGATCTGCAGATCTCCAGTCACAATATCAAATTCCCTGAATTTTGTTCAGAAGACAGTAAATGGGAACACTGGACTATTTCTTTGTCCTAAATGTCATTCCATTTGTTTTGTTTAGACATAATTATTGCTTATAGAGTCCAAAGATGTAATTTTGTTTTAATAATCATGTGATTTTTCACTTCACGATAGACTTACTGGTTCCAATTGTGGTTGATAAGCAAGGACTACCTATATAGGCAAATGCTTAAGAGACAGATAAGCAAAGTATCAGCAGCACAGAATGACAAATGCCAATTTAAAAAAAACTTTAATCTTTTTTTTAAAAAACTTAAAAAATACAAACAAAAATACAAACTAAGACAAAGATCTTAAATTATATTCCCTACTATATATCATATAATCTCTTTCATAATAACAAATATTGCTGCATCCTTTGACTGGCAGAAAGAATTGCCTTTTCCAAAACATATACATCAAACATTTCCAACAATTATTCCTTGACATCTGGAATAACCACTATTCCTGACAAAATGTCAAATTCCGAAGCTTTTGTATATAATTTAACATCACATTAACATCTTGAACATTTCCCCATAAATGTACTAATAAACATTAATTTAGATCCCATTATTCCTAAATTATATCCTACAATTCTTCCAAGCATTCTGACACTCACATTACCCCTACTTCAATGTTATCCCTGAAACAGTAACGGTAGCTGACAGAGAGCTGGCCCAAGGTTACTCAAGGAGCTTTCTTAGCTAAGGAAGGACTTGAACCCAAACCTCCCTGATCCTAGTCCTCTATCCATTACCCAATCCATTACACTGAAATAAATGATACTACGACTTTAATTTTTCTCATTCACTCCATATTAGCTCAGGGCACATAGAATCAAATTCAAATAAAAAATATTAGTTTGATTATTAGCAAAACATTCAAAGACTGGACCTGAAAGCTCTGAAATAATATCTGAAAAAAAGTTAGGATAAGGTAGAGTTCTAAAATAGAGGAGTAGAGGAAAAGATTTCTGGTAATTAGAGAAATGAAGCTAAATTTTCCAGTGTTGCAAAGCAAAACAATAAAGTAAGCACCTACCGGTAATTGTGGCTAATACTAAGCCATATCTAGTACATTGTATGAGCACAGTTGATTTGCCTCAAATTCATTTCTTTTAACATAACATAGCTCAGTGGCTAAGATGCTGAGCTTGCAAATCAGAAAGGTCAGCAGTTCGGTGGTTCGAATCCCTAGCATCGCGTAATGGAAAGAACTCCCATTACTTGACCCAGCTTCTGCCAACCAAGTAGTTCAGAAACATGTAAAAATGCAAGTAGAAAAATAAGGACCACTTTGGTGGGAAGGTAACAGCATTCCGTGTGCCTTCGGCATTTAGTCATGTCGGCCACATGACCACAGAGACATCTTCAGACAATGCTGGCTCTTTGGCTTTGTTTAGAGATGAGCACTGCCCCCTAGAGCCAGAAACAACTAGCACGTATATGCAAGGGGAACTTTACCTTTACCTTAGGCAAGGAAAGTTGCCTTTGCTAAATATGTGATGGAGGGATATTTGCAGCATGGGGGGAGGTGGTCTGCCAAGTTTCTCTACCAGTTCAATTTTCTTCTTTGTGCTTGTTATATTGTTCTATATTTTTCTGGTGTATTATGTGTCACTAGATTTGTCTGGAGTTGAATTGGATAAAGTTACAGTTAAAAAAAATCAGTACACCAAATACAAGCTAGGCGGATAAGAGTTGTAAATCTAATCTTACGAAGCTTCTCCTCTGGTAATACTGAATTGCTAGCTAGAGCATACAAAACTTTTGCTAGACCAATACTTGAATACAGCTCATCTGTCTGGAATCCGCACTGTATATCGGATATTTGAGCGAGTCCAGAAGTATTTCACGAGAAGACTACTACACTCCTCTGCTCGCAACAGAATACCCTACACCACCAGACTTGAAATTTTGGGCCTGGACAACCTAGAACTATGCCGCCTATGGTTGGATCTAAGCATAGTACACAAAATTATCTGCTACATTGTCCTACAAGTCAATGACTACTTCAGCTTCAACCGCAACAATACAAGAGCACACAACAACTACAAACTCAATGTATACCGCTCCAAACTTGATTGCAGAAAGTACGATGTCAGCAACAGAGTGGTCAATGTCTGGAATGCACTACCTGACTGTTGTTACATGCTCAAACCACCACTCCTTTAACCTTAAACTATCTACTATTGACTTCACCCCATTCCTAAGAGGTCTGTAAGGGGCGTGCATAAGTACACCATCGTGCCTACCATCCCTGTCCTACTGCCCCCATTTATTCGTACCTATTTCTTGTATTCATACTCATGTTTATTCTTATACCTATTATCTTATAAGCTATTGACAAATCTGATAAATAATAATTTACACCAAGACAAATTCCTTGTGTGTCCAATCACACTTGGCCAATAAAGTATTCTATTCTATAATAAATTAAAGAAAGGTTTCTCCACTGGTGTCTTTTCCTTGCTGAATTACTAGTTTTGCCAATATTCTCCTTAGAATGTTCCAGAAGTATAGCACAGACAAATGATGGCATGATGGAGACCCTCGTGGAAGCTGCTGTGCCCATGGATCATAACAGATATGATCAGGTAAATATTGGAAGAAAAAGAACTATGGAAGGGCTTTTTAAGAAAAAGAAATTGACATTTTGTATAAAAATAAATTATTAAAGCAGGCAAATCCAACCTGCAGTCCTGACAGCTAGCAATGCAGCCCCATAAGATAATAAAAATATTTTTAAAAAGAAGTGTATTATTTATATACATTAACCTTATGATATATCGACTGACGATAACATTTGTAGCTCAACATTTGTAGTTTAAACTGTGGGTCCTTGTTCTGAGTATGCTTGTTTTCTTACAGACATTTCATTATTAGACTAGGTAACACCACAGCTAGTAGGGAATGGGGTTTGTTCTCATGTTTACATTCTGTGCTCCCGTGACAGTGTTGGTGGTGGGAGTGGTCTTGGTGATTCCTTGATTGAATATTATTTACAGTTGCTTGTTTGGCAATTCCTTGATTGGGCTATTCTTTGCTTCTTGATTGTTGGTCTAATGTTAATCTTGGTATTAATCTCTGCTCATCTGGGTGTTGATTGCTGGTGAGTAGGTATTTAGTCTTTTTTGTTTCCTTTCTGGCTTTTTGATTGTCTCTTTTGATTGGTATGTAGATGTTGTTAATGTCAATGTTCCTTTTGATGGCTGTTAGTATATTATATACTTTATATGTTTTATATGATAATGTCTCTTTCAAATCAAGCTCTACTCCTACCAACTATATGGACACATCCATGTAGTTTTCTTGGCAGTAATACTCTACAGAAATTGTTTGCAATTCCTTCCTTTTTGTTTTTTGACTTGCAATCTCACCCAGAGCTGTCAGGAGCCTAGTACTAATCCTGCTTAACTTTTAAGCCCAGACAAGGTCATTCAAGTGCTGCCACCTGTTAAGACATAACCTTTATTAGCTTTAAGCAAAATAATTTCCAAATTTCTTATTTCTTAACATGGAATGAGACTATTTACATATTTCTGAGTTTTAAACAGGAGTATGCAGGAACAAAGAATGGCAGAATATGAAGCAGAATTTGCGAAGAACTGATTTTTGTTCTGATGCAATAACAGTATCATTTACTACCAGGGTATAGCAATGCAGCTCTGAATGAACTGAGAGTTTTTAATGGGGCAAAATGCATTTATGACTGCAAAACTGCAGGTTTTAAAATTAACATTTTAGAATAAAAACATTCAGCTATTGCATGATACTTTTCTGTTTTTCTAATATAACTCAAATTGAATTTGTTTTATTTATTATCATTGGTGTTTATTAATTTTCGTGTTTTAATCTTCCGCTACCTTCTGATCTTCCCTACACAGCAGATGAAAGCATTTTACAAAGATAAAAAGGTAAAGTGAAAATGAACCTTAAAAATGAACAAATGAAAAACTCTCACTCCCCTCAGTCAACAAAAAGAAAATAGACAATAACATGTATTTCCTCTTTTTTCCCCTCTTGCCTTTATCACAATTCAGAGAAAATAGAGGAAAGTAATTAGCTTTTTATGTATCTTTTTTGCACTCCAATTATCCTATGCTTTTGACGGTAATAAAAATTGCTTAATAGAGGAAAGTATCTTAATAAATTAATACTATACTGCAGGACTGCATACCCCCAAAAAAACTAATGGAAATTCTAATCAACAACAAAAATAAAAACTTGGAAAAAAGATCTGAAAAACACTGGAGGCCA